CATTAATTTTTGCTTGCATTAATGGGCATTTAGAGGTAGTTAAATTACTGTTAAAAGAGATTCGTAATTTTAACCATCAACAAGAAACTGGAGAAACTATCTTAATGATAGCATGTGAATGCGGTCACAAGGATATTATACTAACATTGCTGGAGAATGGGGCAGATCCTAGTATTTGTGATAATGATGGCAACAATGCATTACACTATGCATTACTTACTAGCAGCAGTGAGGATAATACAATAGACATCATACAAACATTGCTGTCATGGCATGTAAATGTTAATGCCCAGAATAAGAAAAAAGTGACACCACTAATGATTGCCAGTGATAAAGGATACACTGAAGTTTTATTATTGTTATTAGAGGAAGCTGATCCTAATATCACTGACAGTAAAGGTGACACTGCATTGATGCGTGCTAGTGCAAATGGAAAAAGTGAAGCAGTTGCACTTTTATTAATGACATATAATGCCAATCCATCAGTTACTAATTATTATGGTTCGACTGCACTCTGTCATGCTGCAAATAATGGGCACATTGAAGTAATTACTGTCCTTTTAAGTAATTATAATCCTAATCAAGAAGAAATGGAGAAGGCAGTAACTGCAGCTTGTTATGGAGGACATAAAAACTTGATTAAGTTGTTGGTTGATAAAATTAATCTAACAAAATATCAACAAGACATATTTACTGCTTGTGTGTCGGACAATGTAGAGTATATAATCAATCAAATATCAAGTGACCTCAGTAGGCCATTGATACAATCCACCAATCTAACTCCTCTCATGATAGCTTCTTCCTGTGGCAGTGACGAAGTAGTACAAACATTACTACTAGATCTATTTGATTCTGATGTTAACAAAACAAGATAACTTTTTAAAACTCTCTCCTCTTTCATATGCAATATCAGGTAGCAAGTCAATTTCAGTTGTTCGGTACCTACTAAATAATGATGCTGATGTCAATGTTATTAGTAAAGAGCAGATGACACCATTAGATATTGCTAGAGTCAATAAGTTAAATGATATAGTTCAATTATTGGAAAATAATGGTGGGAAAACATATTCGTCACTCATGAAAATCAAAGTTGAAGAAATTAAAGAACAATTAAGAACAAAGCTAAAGGTTGAACGTCTGCAAGCAGAATTGTTTAAAAAAAATTATCGAATGCAGGCAAATTCTACTGCTGCCAGTGAAACAGAATCTTTCCACCAACCATTTACCAGTATACCAACCCTACCCACTGACAGTAAAAGGGCATTTGACTTTCATAGACAATCATATATTCCAATCTCTGCACCCGCATAACTATTATACTCTATGCACATACCAACTCGATCTCACTTTTTCTCCCTAACCTCACTCTCCCCTTCTTCTGCCTTTCCGTGAACATTGCTAAATGTAGTCTATAAGAGCTGATATTTTGCTGACATAATAAAAAAGTAATGATATTTAGTCATAGTTTTTAAATAACATTATTATCTTTAGTTGCTGTTTTTTGTTTATCATAAAATTTTAATAAATCCACAAACTGAACCACAAATTTGCAACATGCAGTTGCCCCTCACATTATAATTCCAATTACCACACAAAGAGTTTTAATAAGCATCTATTCCTACATCACATCAGGATAAAAATCAGGAGCCTCTATTACAATGTATGCAAAGTGTAATAAAGATCTACAGTAAAATTGATACATAGAAATCCAAACCAACCTACACTAATTCACTATAATATTATATACAAAATATGCCCACAC